CCCTGCAGCCGTCCTCATAGGATGTCGTTGCTGCCCGTCAGATTCAGCACCGCCTTCCCGGACGCCGGCGACCTGACATTCGCGGTCTTTCACCGAGAACTGGGCAGGTGGGGGCGTGCCGCGGCTTGGGTGACGTGAGACGTCCATCAGGGCACTAAACCGGTTTGCACCGGCCTGAGCTCTGCCGCAGAGAGGCGGGGCATTGGGCTGGGACCGTGCACCCAGGACCTCGCAGCCTGGCTCGGGCCATGTTGGTCTAGAACCTGTGTTTTACAACCCGCTGCCCCGGGTCCCCTCCTCAGGACTCTGCCGGATGCTCCGGGTTTCACAGCCTGTGTCCAGCGTGGATTAGAACTGCCAACGTCCTGCTTGGCGCTGCTTGTAGGACGCAGGCTGGAGGCCCCCACTCCCCAAATCCGCAGTCTAGTGAGACCCTAAATCAGTGCGGTCCAGTTGGCGTGCCACACACTTAAATTTTTTTTTTTGGCTATGTCGCTGGACTCCCATGTAATCGACTGCGGTTCGAGTACCGGACCCAGTAGCTCAAAACTCAAGCCGGGCGCGTGTGCCTCGGTGCCAAAGATCCCAAGAGAAGAGTGGAGGAGAAGGGATTGCGGTGTGGCCATCCCCGGGGGTGGGGGGGTGGGGGAGGTGGTGATTTCTCGCTTTTCTCTCTCTCTGTCTTTCTGGTGAGCGCACGTGCCCTATAGCAAAAACCTCTCAAAGAAAGAAGAAGAAGAAAGCATGTGGCTTGCTTGAGAGGCGGCGGAGCGCAAGCTCCCCAAGGGAGCATGGCCACGCTGTAGGCGTTTCCCCCCACTTCTGCATCCCACCAGGATTTGGGGCATGTATGCATACACTCTGTGTGTTTTTCAAGCTGCCCGTGCCAAGATTCGAACCCCAGTTGGCCACATGGGCTCTGGCATGCTATGCAGAGCTCACGACCTCTGTGCTACAGAGCCAGTCCTCTGCATTGTTTTTTTAATTCAAATTTTGTGTTTGAGTTACTTACAGTGAGTTCTCTTGAGAACTAGGTTCTTGTCCGATACAACCACAGTGAAACAGTCAGACACTGGATTTTTTTTAGAATTAGTATTCAATTTTATTCATCATCGTCATTATTTTTAAAAAGAATATAGATACTTGTGGGGACACGTTTAGAGAGAGACCCTGAGGTGTGAGGACATGCTCTGAGCAAACACCACCTGTCCCTTTGGGCTTTGGCAAAACTTTGCAACTTGCCCTTTCCTTGACCCTCGCTGCAGACAGAGCAGAGTGGAAGTTGCTAGGGGTGTTCCAAGAGACACGTCTGATGGACTTCAAGAGACATCTTGGGACCAGCAGTTGGCGTAATGGCTATGTCGCTGGACCCCACGTAGTCGACCGCGGTTCGAGTCCTGGACCCAGTGGCTAAAACTCACACCTGGCGCGTGTGCCCAAGATCCTGAGAGGAGAATGGAGGAGAAGGGATTGTGGCGTGACCATCCCCCCTGGGGGGTGATTTCTTGCTTTCTGTCTCTCTGTTTCTGTCTGTCTGGCGAGCACACAGGCCCTATAGCAAAAACCTCTACAAAAAAAAAAAAGAAAAAAGAGACTTCGTGACCCCAGTTAGCAAAGCCCAATCCCTGCTGTGCATCTGAAAGGCTCTCCAGCCTTCTCTGGGTGTGGTGGTGCCTCCTTAGGAGAGATTCTTTGGCCTTAAACTGGGTGTCTCTCCATTAGGAGAGATAATGGGACTTTCTCTTGGTGGATCATCAGCACGGGATGCACCTGGCCCAGCGTGACTAAGCCCTCATAGGTTCATTACCTGCTTCTTACTGTCTGTGACCTGGCAACCAGTCCGTGGAGTGTCGTGAAACACACGTGTCGTGTCTCCCTGTACTATAAATAAAGACGCCCGGTTTGTCGGAAGTCTTGGGCCACCTAGGCTCAGGCCGCCTGTGTCCATTTCTGCTCTGTCTTTGTCTCATTCTTTCCAGTTCCCTGGTCCTCTGAAGATGGAGGGCTTTCTCTTTCTCGTCCTCTTTCTCTTCCTCACCAGCAGCCCTCTGATCATGATTCAGCTAGACTGAAGCCCTGGGGCAGACACTGACAGATACTTTTTCAAATAAGTAGTTTATTTAACTCTATTTTCATTTCACCAGAGAGGGACAGTGAGAAAGTGAGAAAGCATGCTGCCAGGTTTGGGACTCGAACCGTGAACAACCATGTGGGAGTCCAGTGCCCTTAACCACCACGACACCTGCTGGCCCCAATCATAATATTTTTTAAGAGATATTTTTGCTATAGGGCGTGTGTGTTCACCAGAGAGACAGACACAGAAAGCAAGAAATCACTCCCCCACACCCCCCGGGGGATGGCCACACCACAGCGCCTTCTCCTCTCAGGGTTTTAGGCACACATGCACACACGCCCAGCGTGAGTTTTAAGCTGCCAGATCCAGGACTTAAAACGTGGTTGATTACATGTGAGTCCAGTGATATAAACATTATGCCATCTGCTAGTCCCCCATTAATTGTTATTTTTTAAATTGACCAGAGACAGACAGGGAAAGTGAGAAAGCAAATTAGCAGGTCCAGGACTTGAACCATAGTCAGTCATTTGGGAATCCAGTGCCCTAACCACCATGCCACTTATTTATTTATTTATTTATTTATTTATTTATTTATTTAGCTTTTTGCCATCAGGTGTGTGTACTCACTGGAGAGAGACAGAGACAGAGAGAAATCACTCCCCAGCAGGGATGGTCATGCCCCAATCCCTTTTCCATTGTCTTCTTGGGATTTTGGGCATGCACACACAGGCACCCGGTGTTTTTCTTTATCTTTTTTTCTTTTTTTTAAATTAGAGCAGTGATTTTTAAAACAAAGCAGAACTAGAACATCTTAAATTTGTACTCCTCTCTTTATGAGTTACCTAACCCACTTTTCATTAAGAAAACTGGAAAGTTAATAACTGCCAGAAGTGGACACCAGACGGTGACACACGTCAGTTTTTTGTAAGGAGTGGGCCGGCTACACAAGAAAATAGAAATGTAGAGCCTTTATTGGGAGCACTCCAGGGCAAGGTTCGCTGGTCCGAAAGAGAAAGAGAGAGGGAGACGGGCCAGAGAAATCACATGCTGGGCTGGGGTTTAGTAATTTCATAAGGGTCTAGGGAGGGGTAATGTCTTAGAGGTAGGAACAGTCCATAAAGGTTTAGGGAGAGAGCAGACTGCTGTGCCACATAAGGTCTGGTGTCGTGTGCAGAGTAGAGCGCCGTGTGCAGAGTAGAGCGCCGTGTGCAGAGTAGAGCGCCGTGTGCAGAGTAGAGCGCCGTGTGCAGAGTAGAGCGCCGTGTGCAGAGTAGAGCGCCGTGTGCAGAGTAGAGCGCCGTGTGCAGAGTAGAGCGCCGTGTGCAGAGTAGAGCGCCGTGTGCAGAGTAGAGCGCCGTGTGCAGAGTAGAAGCCTTGTGCAGAGTAGACCGTCATATGCAGAGTAGAGCACCGTGTGCAGAGTAGAAGCCATGTTCAGAGTAGAGCGTCATGTGCAGAGTAGAAGCCTTGTGCAGAGTAGAGCGTCATGTGCTACATCCAGGTTAGATCCGAGTGCAGCACAGATCTGATGACAGGCTAGATCCAGGTTGTATCAGCCAACTAGGGCGTGGCATCCAACCCTCCACATCCAGGCTGCCCAGGCCTCTGGCCTAACATTTTCCACAGAGCCCTGCTTTGCAGGGTGTCTGAATGCACTGCTCGGGGTCTCTGCTCACACTGCTGGAATTAATCACAGCAGATTTTAATCCACAGGTCGCTTTTCCCCATATTTCTTTGTAAACCTTTCAGCATTCTTACAGAATTTTTATGGCCCTTAGCGTATTCTTCAGCGAGGTCGTCCTGGAGTGGGTGCTCGGGCTGGGCGTCGTTCCCCAGTGCAGGGACTGGATTCCTTGGTCGGTTTTGGTAGCTGGCATCTGTTCTCAGCACTAATTACTGGCAGACAGGCCTGCCCCTCTTCATCGAGTGCGGGTGATAGATCTTTGTCGTAAGTGTGATCCTCCGTGGCTTGGATGGGTACTCTGCTGGAAAGTTGATTCCCATCTGCAGGCCCCCTTGTCATATGGAGGGTTGTCAGGAACAGTAAGCCCTTGCCAAGTCAATAAAGCAGCTTCATCAACCTGGATGTTGTGGAAGTTTTTCTTTCCACATTTGTGGATTTCTTCACACTCCTTCCTCAGCCTCCTTCTGGCCACCATCTTGGGTCTGGTGCTGCTGCGTTTCCCACCTGTGTGTTTACAATCAAACCATGGAGTCAGCCATGTGGAACCCAGCACCTCTACTACCATGCCACCTGCTGGCCTGGAGGGCATATTTTTTTTTAAGTTTATACATTTCTTCCTTCCTTCCTTTCTTTCTTTCTTTT